CAAAGGAACTCAACGGAACACAAAGGAACTCAATGGGACCCAACGGGAGATGATGGAACCCAACGGGACACGATGGAGCCCAAGAGAACTCAACGGAACCCAAAGGAACACAATGGGACCCAAAGGAACTCAATGGGACCCAACGGGACATGATGGAACCCAATGGGACACGATGGAGCCCAACAGAACCCAACGGAATGCAAAGGAACTCAATGGGACCCAACAGAACCCAACAGAACCCAAAGGAGTCCAATGGAACCCAACGGGACATGATGGAACCCAATGGGACACGATGGAACCCAATGGGACACGATGGAACCCAATGGGACACGATGGAACCCAATGGGACACGATGGAACCCAATGGGACACGATGGAGCCCAACAGAACCCAACGGAATGCAAAGGAACTCAATGGGACCCAACGGGACATGATGGAACCCAACAGGACACGATGGAGCCCAAGAGAACTCAACGGAACCCAAAGGAACTCAACGGAACACAAAGGAACCCAATGGGAACCAACGGGACATGATGGAACCCAACGGGACATGATGGAACCCAACAGGACACGATGGAGCCCAAGAGAACTCAACGGAACCCAAAGGAACTCAACGGGACCCAAAGGAACTCAACGGGACCCAAGGGAGCCCAATGGAACCCAAAGGAACCCAACAGGACCCAAAGGAACCCAATGAGTCATCAAAAACCCAACCTGACACATCCAAACCCCAAGAACCCAACCCAATCCATACCAAACCCAACCAAGCCCAACCCAACCCCTCTAAAACCCAACCCCTACGAAACCCAACAAATCCCAACCCAACCCCTACAAAACCCAACCCGACCCCTCCAAAACACAACCCAATCTTCCCAAACCCCATACAAACCCCAAAAACCCAACCCAATCCATCCCAAACTCAACAAAACCCAACCCCTCCAATCTTCCCAAATCCCATCCAAACCCCAAAACCCCAACCCAATCCATCCCAAACCAAACAAAACCCCAAGAACCCCTCCAAAACACAACCCAACCTTCCCAAACCCCATCTAAACCCCCAAAACCCAACCCAACATTCCCAAACCAAACAAAATCCAACCCAACCCATCCCAAACCCAACAAAACCCCAAGAACCCAACCCAACCCATCCAAAACCCAACCCAACAAAAACCAACCCAACCCCTCCAAAACCCAATCTAATCTTCCCAAACCCCATCCCAAACCCTAAAAACCCAACCCAATCCATCCCAAACCAAAAAAACCCAACCCAACCCATCCCAAACCCAACAAAACCCAACAAAACCCAACCCAACCCCTTTGAAACCAAATCCAACATTCCCAAACCCCATCCCAAACCCTAAAAACCCATCTCAACCCATCCCAAACCCAACAAAACCCAACCCAACCCCTCCAAACCCCAACAAAACCCAACCCAACCCCTCTAAACCCCAACAAAACTCAACCAAAACCCATCCAAAACCCAAAACCCCATCCCAACCCATCCCAAACCCATCCCAAACCCCCAAAACTCAACCCAACCCAACCCATCCCAAACCCAACCCAGTGTTCCCAAACCCCATCCAAATCCCAAAACCCCATCCCAACCCATTCCAAAACCCAACAAAACCCAACCCATCCAAAACCCAATAAAACCCAACCCATCCCAAACCCAACCCAATGTTCCCAAACCCCATCCAAAACCCAAAACCCCATCCCAACCCATCCAAAACCCATCCCAAACCCAACAAAACCCAACCGAACCCATCCCAAACCCAACCCATCCCAAACCCCACCAAAACCCCACGAACCCAACCCAACCCCTCAACCCTTCCAACCCAAGACCCACTCAACCCCCAACTCACCGGCCACCGCCACTTGGTAGAGCTGCCTCAAGGGCTGCCGCGCCTGCCGGGCCGGCACCAGGTCGCCGAAGCCGACGGTGCAGAGTGAGATGACGCAGAAGTAGACGGCGTCCAGGTAGCTCCAGGTGGCCTCCAGCAGGTAGAAGGCGGCGGCCGGGAGGAGCACCAGCAGCACCAGGGTGGCGGCCAGCAGCGCCAGGAGGTGGGCGCGGGCGGCGCCGCGCCGGCTGTAGCCCCAGCGAGCCTGCAGGTAGCCACGGGGCCGCCGGGCCAGCGGCACGGCCAGGTGACGCGCGGTGGCCGCCAGGAGGAACATGGTGGCCGGGACGCCCACGGCGGCGTAGGCGGCGCAGAAGGCTTTGCCGGCGGCGGAGAGCGGCGTCGCCGAGCCGTAGCCTTGGGGGGGACAGCGGGAGGGTGGAGGGGGAGACCCCCGACTCAATATCCCCTCAAAGACCACCAGGACCCCTCAGAGACCCCCGGGACCCTCCAAAAGACCCCCGGGATCTCCAAAAGACCCCCGGGACCCCTAAAAGACCCCCGGGATCTCCTCAAAGACCCCCCAAAGACCCTCGGGATCCCCTCAAAGATCCCCGGGATCCCCTCAGAGACCCCCGGGACCCCCGCCCGCCCCTCACCGGTGCCGGCCCCGCTCCGACCCCCGCCCGCCGCCGCCTCTGCTCATCCCAGTTCCCTCCCAGTCCCTCCCAGTTTCCTCCCAGTGGCTGTGGCTGCGGGGTGGGGGCGGGGCCGGGGTATTTTCCCCCTCCCCCCCGCCAACCGCACCTCGGGACTGGAGGGAACTGGGAGGTACTGGGAGGGACTGGGAGGGACTGGGATGAGTAAGGAGGAGAATGTGGGGAACTGGGGGAATGAACTGGGGGGAATGAACTGGGGGGAACTGGGAAGGACCGGGAGGGATGGGACAGTTGATACTGGGGTAACTGGGACGATTTGTACTGGGATAACTGGGGCCATCCGTACTGGGTGAGCTGTGTTAACTGGTGTTAACTGGTCTGTACTGGATTAACTGGTCCATACGGGGTTAACTGGGGCATGCTGGGTTAACTGGTTTTAACTGGTCCATACTGGGTGAACTGGCCAATACTGGGCTAACTGGGTGAACTGAGTGAACTGGTCTATACTGGGTTAACTGGTCCATACTGGGTGAACTGGCCAATACTGGGCTAACTGGGTGAACTGAGTGAACTGGTCTATACTGGGTTAACTGGTCCATACTGGGTGAACTGGTGCCCTTCCCCCCGGGGTCATGGGGCCATCACGAGGCTCCCACGGGAGCGTCCCGAGGCCGGAGCCGCCCCGGGGCCGGAACGGCCGGACACGGATGGACACGGAAGGACACGGATGGACACTGGACATGGGGGAGGGACTGGGGACATGGGGACACTGTGGGGACACCACGGGGACATCCCTGGGGACACCATGGGGACATCACAGGGACTGGGATGAGCAGTAAGGAGGGGAATGGAGGGAACTGGGGGGAACTGGGAGGGACTGGGGGGGGGATGGGATGACCAGTAAGGGGCTCCACTGGGACAGTTGATACTGGGGTAACTGGGAGGTTTGTACTGGGATGACTGGGCTCATCCATACTGCATAAACTGCGTTAACTGGTGTTAACTGGTCCATACTGGGCTAACTGGCCCATACTGGGTTAACTTTTCCTGCCCTTTTCCCTCCTCACATGTCCCCCTTTTCCCCTCACATTTCCCCCCCCTTTTCCCCTCATTATTTCCTCCCCTTTTCCCCCTCACATTTCCTCCCTTTTCCCCTCACATTTCCCTCTCATTTTTGCCCATTTCCCCCCGTTTTCCCCTCACATTTCCCCCCTATTTTCCCCTTACATTTTCCCCTTTTCCCCCTTACATTTCCCCCCCTTTTCCCCTCACATTTCCCCCTCACATTCCCCACCATTTCCCCCTCACATTTCCCACCATTTTCCCCTCACACTCACCGCCATTTCCCCCTCACATTTCCTGCCATTTTCTCCTCACATTTCCAACCATTTTCCCCTCAATTTCACCACCATTTTCCCCTCACATTCGCCACCATTTTCCCCTCATATTTCCCGCCATTTTCCTCTCACACTCACCGCCCTTTTCCCCTCACACTTCTCTCCCTCTTCCCCTCACATTTCCCACGATTTTCCCCTCACATTTCCCTCCATTTTCCCCTCACATTCACCACCATTTTCCCCTCACATTCGGCATCATTTTCCCCTCACACTCACCGCCCTTTTCGCCTCACATTTCCCTCTATTTCCCCTTCACATTCCCCACCATTTTGCCCTCACATTTCCCTCTATTTCCCCCTCACATTCCCCACCATTTTCCCCTCATGTTTCCCTCCATTTTCCCCTCACATTTCCCACCATTTTCCCCTCACACTCACCACCATTTCCCCCTCACATTTCCCTCCATTTTCGCTTCATATTTCCCTCCATTTCCCCCTCACATTTCCCACCATATTTCCCTCCATTTTCGCTTCATGTTTCCACCATTTTCCCCTCATGTTTCCCTCCATTTTCCCCTCACATTT